AGACCGGGAGGTTCAGCCACCGCCCTGCACCAGCTCCGGTGTGAACCAGGCTGGTAGGACCGGCGTTCAGCACCCCTGGGCGCTCGCCCGCAGGGAAGGGAGAGGCGACACGGAGGGGCGAGGGCCGCCGCAGCACAGCAGGCCTGGCCTTGGCTTCGGAGGAATTCTCACGAGTTTGTCAAACTGTAAAAAAAGCTCTAAAAAAAAAATTGCTTTGGGCGGTTGACTTATGTCAAGTTTCGGCAAACGGTGAAAACAAACGCCTTCACGTTCTGACACGATTACAGGAACAAAGAAGGGCCCCAAGTACTTCACAATTACCAAACTGCACGCACTGAGGTTGAAAATGACAAGTTTTTATTTAAAGCGTCTATTAAATGACAGCACATCCACTCTTCGCTGTTAAGTCATGCCAAACTACATGCCAAACTTAAATCTTTCCAAGCACTTTCAAGATTTTAAGTATCTAATCGCTTCTTAAGAACAAAAAGCAGTGTTCCACATCTCAATTTTTACTTAGTATTTTACCCAAAACTTCTCATGACACAAAAATGCTTCAGCTGTGTGCATTCTGTCTACAGCCAAGTACAATTCAGTGTACAGATTCACGCTCAAAGCTCATTCTGAGACCAAACTATTTGCATGCAGCCAACTAAACAGTCAGACCCACGTAACTTATTTGTGAAACTCCAGACCTACCCATGCTAATTACCAGGTTTACATGGGCTAAAACCCCTAAAATGACTGCAGCATTTCATGGTTTTACGCCTTAAAAAGGCTTAAAAAGGCTTAAAACAAACCAATGAGCCTGATGTCAGCTAAGTTCAGGAGCTGAAAGCAAAAGTTAAACCGTATCACTGGTGCAAAAATATTTACATTCAATGAAAGTGATTTTTTTTTTTTCATTCTGTTGCTTTTAAGTGCATCAACACATTGTTTAAATAAACTGTGTTAACAAGGTTTTCAACCACAACAGGCAGAAAATATCACCTAACAGTTGCAACTGCTGGTGTAAAATTACACTACTTCACTGGAACAGCTGCACAGCTCTGTAGAACCTGTATCAAGTGACTGATCAATGATTTCTTCCTCTGTTGAAGTGAGAGGGAAAGTGGCTTCCCTCCTCACCTGCATTTCCTGACCTTCAATAAGAGGAAGGAGTTAAAGCAAGCAGATCAGTAAATACAAGTTACTAATATCCCCTCAAGCAGTAGCTTAATAACAACAAATCATAACAAAAACCACCAACACAAACAAAAACATCACACATCACAAGAAAGTCCAATCTGAAAACAGTTTCATTAGCATATAAGGAATTTCTGGTTGCCTTCAAAGCAAAACACAGAAAATGATCGCCATCAGACAATGCTATTCGGAAGTATACAGCATTCACGAAGTGACAAGATATCCTACTAAACATTTTATATCGGCATCTGAGTACTAGGCAGCATTCTGCAACTTCATTTATCTGGGAAATACATGAAATCACGCTGTTAACACACTTGTAACTATCTTTGGAAGCCTATTTCCTAGTTGTATAGTGAATACTTTTCTGCAGTGTTTAATTGATAGCTGTGCTAACGTTAGTGAACACAAAACTGGCATGTTATCCTGAAGTAAAGCAGTAAGGTGGCGTTATGCACAGAAAGTACGGAGGCTTCTATTTGCTAATAATCATATAAAAGCAATACCTTAAAACTTAGTGTTTGCTAAAAGGAGATCTAAAATAGTTTCCTACGAATCCACACCACCCTGTAAAATACCCACTTTATGAACAGACTTAAGTGCCAAATCACTACAGGGTCCAAAAATATCTGAAAAAAATATCACCAATTGTTTACCTTTGTCTAGACTTTGCAAGACTAATCATTTTCAGACAAACCCAACAATGTGCAAAAGTTCCTAACGTCATGTCAGGAAAAAAACAAGTGCTACGAACAGATTCTGCTGAAATCAAAACAGAAAACACAGAACAGCAAAGTCAAGCCTCATACCTTGAGCAGTCACAATGAAGATCCTGAACGATCTTAGTTTCCTGCATGAAGCAGTTTCTTCCCCTCTACAAGTTGAGATAACTAAGCTTTGCCTTCCACCTCAGCGATACTAGGTAAAGATACACCGACATTAGAAAAACAGGGTTTCACTGCTGCTTAACAATATCTTCAGACCTACCACTTCTTATAAATTTGCCCAGTCAGGCAAACACTTCTCTTTTTGTCAGCCCTCTTTGGCCACGTGTACCATTCTGCTAATCGCGAACACTTTGTTCGGAAAGGACTTCCTGTGAAAACTGCTCCGAATAAATGAGTTAACCTTGCAAAATCTAACCCTGCATCATGCAGTCCCATATTTACAAAACACTTAGAAACTTTACATCTGTCTTTTACCTTACAAAAAGTGCAATTCTCTTACCCCATGTTATGGGGCAACAACATTCTTCATAAACTCTACAGAATAGCAGCCTATAATAAGCAAATAAGGTGCTTAGCTTATGCCCAGGATCTAACTGGTTAAGTACCACCAGGAAGTACATTTTGTATAGGCAGACTCTGTTTTTATCTACTGTAGAAGGGGTGCCACGGCCAGGTTTGCGAGCTCAATGAGAGCCAGCGCACCGTGCATGCGTTCACTCTGTTCCTGGAGGCAGCGGAGGCGAGCAGCAGAATGAGCGCTGTTTTTCTCTTCATCATCCTCTTCATCAGACTGAAGATATTCCATTGGATCCTGCTGTTCTTGATCCGTTTTCTGGATTGTTTTAGTTTTCAAAGCAGGGGCACGCTGTTCTCTTGTCTCCCAGTATCTACAAAAATGAAACACAGGGAATGCTTTTAATACATACAGCTAACTCCTGCGCCAGCAATAGAGAGTACCTCACATACAGTCTGCAGCATTAAGTACTAAGCATTTGGCTTTATCTTTCAGCCCTCGCGTAGTAGCATTTAAGGTGTCAGAATCCTCCTTTTTCGGTATTTTAAGTGTAAAGTACCCAAATGAACATCTGTGGCAGATGTCTCCTCTACAGGGTGTTCCCAGAAACACAGTCGTCCCTCATGCAGATGCAAATCCAGCATGCCTGTGGTACTATCAAGGTATTAAGAGGCATTTAAGCAGGTAACAATATTTAAAAAAAAAGCAAGAAAAGTCTCATGAGGAACATTATCTTGACCAGGACTTAACATTTCTTTGAGAAAGGCAAGGCCTGGCTGATATGTACTGGAGGAATGGCCGGGTTTGGTTTGTTGGAGCTTTTTTTGCCCCTAAGAATGAAACGCTTTCTCAGTCCGCCCTTAGAAGTGTTTTAGAGAAAGATGATACCACAAGGGAACTTACTTTGCTAGCCACTCAGCCACAGCTTCATTGTCAGCTGTCTGCTTTTTACTCAGCCTGTCTGTGAGCTCTTCCCTCTTCAGTCGGGCAAATGGATGTTTGGGACAATGACGGTTTGCATGCGTGAATCTGCTTAAACAGCCTTAAAAACATGAAGTGACAACGAAGAACACATTACGGGATAGCAGTCAACTAAGAAGTAGGAATAGTATCTGTGGGATGAAGATGCTGCTGAATTCCACCTTCCTCACTCACAAAACCTTAGGTTTGGTTGAAAGCAGCAAGCTGTAGTTGCAATGTTCATAGTGTGCCCATTATTTCGTACACTGGTATCAACTGACAGAATTACTGTTAACCTACTTACATAGTAACATACGCAATCCTTAGATACATACTTGCATGATTATGCAGATTCTCCACAGCTTCTCCTTTCCCTTTCCCTAGAAGCTCCTCCAAAGGAAAATCTGCCACATGATCATGTATACGTTTCCAGTACTAGACTGACACTAGTTCTGAAAGCGGCAAATTACTCTCTGATGTCTCACCATTCTCTGAGCAGACGAAAGGTTTCTCCCCTGTGTGCAGACGCTGATGAGTTTTGAGCTGCCCACTCTGAACAAAGGCTTTCCCGCAATCTGGGTAGTCACACAAATAAGGCCTTTCACCTTAAAAATAACAACAGAACATATTTATAAAAGCTGGGTATAAAAGAAGAGTCGTATTATCCAGTGGTATCCAGCATCCCTGGCTTGAGACTTACAGAAGCAAGCTGTCCTTTTACTCACTCAGACACTTGCACCTAGTCAAAAAGCCCTGGTGTACCAAATAGCAGAGATACACTTTTGCCCCAAACAGATCTTTACTTTGAAGCACATATTCTATGCTACTGAATAATCCAATTATTTCCAGAGGAGAGAGAAAAAAAAAAAAATTCTTATCATATTTTCAGACTTAAGCCTCTTGCATAGCACTACCTAAGTTTTGTCCCATGAAACTACACACCTATAGAGCAAGAAATACATGAAGTGAAATTAGTAAATGGATAGATAATGCAATTCAAGTTGTAAATGGATAAATTCTATCCTTAACATAGCCTGTATCAGGGTAAAATAGCTGAGGACAACAGTAAAGTAACATATGAAGTTGCCGAAGTATCTCGTTGGGGAAGAGTGAGAAAAGTTGTAACAGATAAATGGAGATAGCACGAGAAATTGATTCCAGACTTAAACCAAGGAAGTTTTCTTAGTCCAGTCATCTAGGAGGGCTTCTCCACACAGCCTGTAATGAGAAGCACAGAGGCTCTGATCGTGCAACTAGACACAGGTGTGCCGTGACACTGCTCCTCAGGAAGGATGACGAGTGTCATCCTTCTTACTACCCAGGGAGCAAACAGCACACCAAGCTCTGTACTCAGTGAAGCAGTTCATACAAGTTCAACACCTAATGCAACCAAGTGAAGTAAAAACATCTTTTTACCAAAGAGCATGAGGAGCCTGCTGTTTAGTATTAGTACCCATATTAGGCTCAGTGATTTGAGTTGGAAAAAGAGACCATGGGAGCCAAGGTTTGTCCAGGGTTTTGTTCGTTTGGTATAGGTGTTTGGGGAAGGGGGAGGGGGCAGCGCAATCCGCTGGTGGTTGTGTCTGTATTGTGGGCTATATTAGTTCACACTTTATTGCAAATACAGAGTCCTGTTGGAGCTTTAACTCAAAAAAAATGGTTTTAGTTTTAAAAAAGCAGCACCTCCTGTTCAGTTCAAGCTCAGCAGGGTATTGAATAAGTTGATCCCGTATTTCAGCTTAACTGCGAGTTGCCTTCTAGAAATAGTTCAGTAAATCAGTGTGACCAACTGCACACGAGAAAATGAATTCTAGGTGGTGGGAGACAACTGGATGGTGATTTCAAGCATTTCAACTCTTTTCTCAACTTTAAAGCTACAGTTCTAGGGTGTTACACTGCCCACGTTACCAACCACTTTTAAAGTTACTCTAACAGGCAAACTTCAATTGCTGCATGAAAAGTACACCAGCAAGAAGGAAACAAATCACAGAGATGAGGCAGTCAGAACTAAAAGTGCTACCACGTACAGAGCACCAAGCTCAGGAAAAGTACTCCCCTCTTACCAAGAAAGCCCATGATAACAGCAGATAAATTATTTACACGATTTGCATGTACCATCAGAGCCCAAATCGCTGCTACACTTGCCCGTGAAAAACGTTGTTACACAGGCTTTGATTACGCTGACAAGGCTTGGAAGAAAGGTATGATTAATTTAGCACCGACAATAAAATATTAACAGGTCGAGTTTGTCAGGGTCGGGGGTCTGTCTGTGGTTTGATTAACCCTTTGGGTGCTGCTCACCCCAGCTAATGACACCTTCCCCTTACTCACCGGTGTGAGTCCGTTTGTGGGCTTGCAGGGACTTCTCTCGCGGAAAGACCCTGTTGCAGATATTGCAACGTATCCTGCTGGAAGAGTGCTCTCCTTCATGGATCAGGTCACGGACGGTGTCTGCTCTCGGCCGGCCACGCCTTATCCCATC